CGACCTGGCTTGCTTCACAGAGACCTGGCTGGGGGAGGATAGCACCACTATATGGGCGCAGGCCCTCTCAGCTGGGTATTCTGTTAGTGAGCAGGTGAGGGGAAATGGGCGGGGGGGCGGAGTGGCTCTGGTTCATAAGAACACCTTGACTTTGACCAGGATACCTGTCCGGAACACAGTCCACTTCGAGTGCATGTATCTCAGCCTTAAGACCAGGGATAGATTGGGGATTCTGCTAGTCTACCAGCCACCCCGTTGTCTAGCAGACTCCCTGACCGAGCTGACACAGCTGGTCTCTGAGCTGTTGTTGGAGACCCCCAGACTCTTAGTTCTGGGGGATTTCAACATCCTGCTCGAGACCAGTTTAACAGGTGCGGCTCGGGAGTTCATGGAGACCATGACAAACATGAGCCTATCCCAATTGATCAACAGGCCCACACACTGCACAGGTCATACACTCGATGCAGTCTTCAGTATGGAACAGGAATATCCATGGGCGGAGGTGGTAAGTATCTCCGTATTGTCATAGACAGATCATTTCCTGGTCAAGACTGAACTGAGAGCCAATATCTGCCCCACCAGGGGTGGTGGACCAATTAGAATGGTCCGCCCTCAAAGGCTGATGAAGCCTATTGGATTCCAGAGAGCCTTGGAGGGCTTAATGGTTGGGAATGCCAGTGACCCTGTCGAAGCTCTGGTTAATACTTGGAACACCGATCTTACCAGGGCTATCGACATGATCGCTCCCAAGCATCCTTGCCATCCCACTTCAAATCATAGTCCTTGGTATACACCAGAGCTTAGGAGGATGAAGCAGTTTGGACAATGACTAGAATGCAGGTGGCAGAAGACTCGACTCTTATCTGACAGAACTCGCCATAGGAACTTTCTTTGGTCCTATCGGGAGGCAATATGTACAGCAAAGAGAGCTTTCTTCTGTGCACACATTGCATCTGCAGAGTCCCATCCAGCAGAACTGTTTAGGGTGGTGAGGGAGATGACGCAGGTGCCCCCCTGTGCCTTACTTAATTCGACAACATCCTGCTGTGAGGTGTTTAACAACTTCTTTGCAGATGAAATCTCTCAGATAAGAGCCGACTTAGATGCCACTGTTGAAACAGTCTATAGGCGAGGCGTCCAGTGACTCCGTTGATGTAGTTATACTGGATCAGCTTCAATCTGTGAGTACTGAGGACGTGGACAAGCTGCTTGGTAAAGTGAGGAAGACAACTTGCCCTCTCGACCCTTGCCCATCATGGCTGGCCATCCAGGAGGGTATGCATTGATGAGATTCCTCACGGATATCATCGGTGCATCCTTCAAGGTTCCATCTTGTTTGAAGGAAGCGGCTGTTAGGCCGCTTCTGAAAAAGTCTCCCCTGGACCCCCTGGATATGAGTAATTACAGGCCCATTTCATTGCTGCCATTTTTGAGCAAGGTAATCGAGAGGGCAGTTGCTCTTCAGCTCCAAGCTGTCTTGGATGAAACTGATTATCTAGACCAATTTCAAACTGGCTTCAGGACAGGCTTTGGGGTTCAGACTGCCATGGCTGCCTTGACCAATGATCTGCGTCTGAGCATCGACAGGGGTAGTGTGACCCTGTTGGTGCTCCTAGACCTCTCAGCGGCTTTTGACACGATAGACCACGGCATCCTCTTGGGCCGCCTGAGGGGATTAGGTATCCGGGGCACTGCTCTGCAGTGGTTCTGGTCCTTCCTCTTGGGAAGGTCCCAGAGGGTGCTGCTCGGGGACAGTAGCTCCAGCAAGAGGGTACTCACTTGTGGGGTCCCTCAAGGATTTTGTCCCCGATGTTATTCAACATCTATATGAAGCAGCTGGGTAAGATTATACTGAGTTATGGTGCTGGGTGTTATCAGTATGCTGATGACACCCAAATCTATTTATCCGTGTCTTGTTCGTCAGCCTCAAATTCCAATGGCATCTCTTCTCGCAATAAATGTCTTCAGGCGGTAATGGGCTGGATGAGGAAAAACAGATTGAAACTGAATCCAGACAAGATGGAGGTGCTCATGGTAGTGGCCCCGAAACCAAGAATTGGGTTGCAACCTCCAGTCCTGAATGGGGTCACACTCTCCTCCAGTGATTGTGTTTGCAGTCTGGGGGTGCTCCTTGACTCATCACTCCTGATGACAAATCAGGTAAATGTGACGGTCAGGAGCGCCTGTTATCAGCTTCGGCTGATATGCCAGCTGCACCCTTTTCTGGAAGTAAAGGATCTCAAAACTGTTGTGCACACACTGGTAACCTCACGCCTTGACTTCTGTAATGCAATCTACATGGGGCTACCCTTGTGCTTGGTTCAGAAATTACAGCTGGTTCAAAATATGGCAGCGAGGCTTGCATCAGGAACATCTAGAAGGGACCACATTACTCCATTTCTGAGGTCCCACCACTGGCTGCCTATCAGCTTCTGGGCCCAGTACAAGGTGTTGGTTATTACCTTTAAAGCCCTAAATGGCTTGGGTACAAGCTATGTCA